CCAATTTTTATTTTTTTTTCCATTTTACAAATATACCATCGTATTCAACACAAATAAAATTAAAAAATTTAATTTTAGGTTATCAACGTGAAAATAATAAAATTTATATATATATATATATATATGTATTAAATAATTTTAATATCATAAAAAAAAAAAAAATTAAATTAAATTGAAAGTTATTATTATTATTTTTTTTTTTTTCTTTTCTTTTTGGATATCATGATTCATCATTCGTGTCAGCAATTTGCTCAGGTGGCGACGAAATTTCTGAACGTATCTCAAATGTTCGCCATTTTTTTTTTTTTTTTTTTTTTTTAATATTTTTTTAAAATAAAAAAATTTTTTCATTTGAAATAAAATTATAAAAGAAATTTAATACCATTATTTACAAAAAAATAAAACAAATTGAAATAATATGTCGTATTATAATAAATAATAAGGTCACATTTTCTATCTATTTATTTCTTAATCATCATGTTTTATAAAAAATAATAATAATAATAATAGATTATTTTAAAGGAAAGAAACAACAAAAACAATTTTTTTTTTTATGTTTTGAAGATGATAATGTTTTTTTAAAAAAAAAAAAAACCAGGTAATAATTAACATCCTGATTTTCAACACTCAACCAACAACCAATAGTTTTAGCCTTTTATTTCAAAACATTTTGAAATTATTTAATTATTGTTTATGTTCATTCTTTTTTTTTTTTTAATTTGATTTTCAAGTAAATCAAGTTCTTTAAATGTTTTTATGTAAAATTTATTTTCAAAAAAAATTTTTTTTTGTCTTTTCCTAGATAAATAGAAATTTTTTTTCCAATACCTTATTCTTTACTGATAAATTTTAACAATAATAATACTTTTCTCAGGTTTCAAAATTGAATCTAAATTGTTTTTATTGACATTTATTAGGTTATAAAGCCGCATTCAAGTCTATAAATAAAATAAAAAAAACAAATGAGTAAAAAAAAGGTATATTCTAGTACCTTAAAAGTATTTTAAAGGCTCAAAATAACCCCTCTCTCTCTCTCTCACTCTTTATAATGTGGTAAGTTTTTTTTTTTATCTGGCATTATTATTTATAGATTTAAATAAAATTTTAAGGAATATATTTTACACAAACAAACACAAAATTATTTTATTTTTTGATGTTGCCATTTTTTTATTAAAATAATGATGATAATAATGAAAGTTCATAATCGCTTATCGTTCTTTTTAAGTGTTTTTTTTTTTTTTTTTTATAATTTTATTTAATTTTTAGTTACCTAATAAAATTTACTTTTTGATATGACAAAATATAATGATAATACATAAATAATTTAATCAAATTGTGTCAAAATAAAAAATAAAAAATAAAAAAAAAATTTACAAGAAAGAGTTTTCAAGTAAGGATAAAAAAAATAATAAAAAAAAATTTTTATAACATTTCCTTGCTGTTTACAGGTTTCCAAATTTTCTTTAATATTTTTTTTTTTTTATTTTCAAAGGACAACGACGAGAAGGTCGACATTTTTTTTTTTTTTTAATATTAATTAATTAATTTTAAAAAAAATTAAGGAAAACATAAAAAAAAAAAAAAAATTAAATTAAAATCCGTTTAAATCAAATCGGTTGCGCCGTTAAATATATGTGTATACAGATTTCGTTTTTTTTTTCCACGTAATAAATTTAAAAATTAATATATTTTTTATATTATATTAGTGATGAAAAATAATAGTAATAATAATAATAATAAACTTTAAGTGAATAATAAGTTATTATTATTTAAAAAAAAAAAAAAAGAAAAAAAAGTTAGTTAGTTAGTTTTTCGTGAAACGCATCACCACAATAATATTGAAGGCAAGGCTTTTTTCGTTGTAGTACTAGTCGATGTTAAAAAAGAACCAAATTGATTATATTTAACTAACCTTATTCGAAATCTTTTTAAATTACGATAAATATATTTGACGTCATTAAGTTGTAAAATTGAAATGATCAGTCCTTTGCTGTTCGTCTGCTTTTCTGGGTGAGGTTAACAGTAGTCAAGTGAGGGGATTGAGAATAGAGAAAAAAATTTTATTATTATTATTATTATTATTATTTTTAGTTAATTGTTTGTAATTTTGGATTTTATTTCGGATTAAATTCGTAAGTTTTTTTATTTATTTATTTATTTATTATTTGTATTTTTTTTGGTAAGTTATTAATAAAAAGTTTAATAAAAAAATAAAATAACGCGAAGCTAAGAATGCGGTTTTGTAATCGGTCGTTAGCACACACACACACATACATAGACACACAAGTTGTTTATTTAATTTATATAATAATCAATTAATTTATTTATTATTAATAGATTTTTTTTTTTTAAAAATAACGTTTATTAAAAATGAAAACATTAAAATACATAACGTATTCAAACACACACACACACACACATACATACACACACCTCGGCTTGGAATTTATTAATTTGTTTTCACTTGTTTGCTTCTTTTTATTTTTAATTTTTCATAAATTTTTTTTTTTTTTATTTATATCAAGCCAATTTTTTTTTTTTTAAAGTCATGTGTATAATGTGCTATTGGAAGAAAAAAAAAAAAAAATGAATTTTTTTTAGGTAGGCCTTGGCCTGAAATATAAATAAAATAAAAAGCCAGAAATATTAAAAAAAAAAATTATTTTATTTTACACACAAAAAATTTTGATTCGATTAATCTTAAAGTTACTCCCATTTTTTTTTTTTTTCTCTCATAAATATTTGTTTTGATAAAAATATGTTTATTAAGGTATAAGGTATGTAATAATAAAGTAAAAATGGAAAAGAAAAGAGTTAAAAAAAAAAAAAAAAAAAAAATGTCCATGTATTTGTACATTGTGGTAATTTTTTTCGGGTTATTTATTTACATTTAGGCTTAAACAAATTATTTAAAAAAAAACAAAAAAAAAAAAAATTTTTTTAAATTTTTATGCTTATTTGGATAGGTCATGGCTTTATTATTTACTTATTTTTAAATAAACAATCGAAAAAAATTTAAAAACAAAAAAATGTATATCACTTTTGTGCAATTTCATCATAAATTTTTCGTCAAAACAGTCTAAAATTAATTTTGTTAAAAATTTTTCGTTTGCATTCGACATGTTATTTCATTTGTTTGAATAAATTTTTATTTTTAATGATGATGATTATGATGATGTACATAAATAATGATAATTATCATTCTTATCATTATTACTATTACTACTACTATTACTGTAAAAACTGTAAAAGTTTCATTTTTTAAGGGATTGTAAATTAAAATATATTTTCTAAGGTCATGTTTATAAAAAATTATAATCGAGAATTTCGGTTTTACCATTTTCATTAGAATTTTTTTTTTTCGGTTTGAATATCTTTTGTCATTTATTTATTTATTTATTCTGTTTTGCAATATATTAATAATAGACATGATTGTTATTAACATAATTTCAGGTTAAACTGATTTTGTTTTATCTATTATTCGGTTAATTAGTTTGTTTGAATGTAACATAAAACATTATAACACAATACACACACAACCGACTTTCATTAAAGATGACATTGAGGATAAAAAAAAAAGCCTTCATGTCTCCTCGAAATTATGTTTAATTTGATTAAAAGGATTTTTCTCTCTCTCTCTCCCTCTCTCTCTCTCTCTCTCTCTCTCTCTAGCTTTTCCATTCATGTAAAAACATTTGCAAAAAATGGGGGGAGGGGGTTTTGTTTAAATTTTGTTCGATTAGGTTTTTTTTTTGCTTTTTTAGGTTATAATTTTTTTCATTTTTAACTTTAAATAAAAACTTTTAAAATTTATAATAAAATAATAATAATAATGAATTGAGCAACATTAAAATAATCAATGAATTATACAATAATAATAATAATAATAATAATAAAATTTTTTTGTTTATTGTAATTATCATAGTTTTGGTTTTTGTTTTTTTTTTATTCGAATTTAAAAAAAAAATTGAATGTTTGAAGGATAAAACAATTGTCGATAACACAATTGTTATTATTACTAATTTTTAAATTTTTATTAGTAATGTTTATGAATTCAGAAAAGGTTTACTAAGAAAGGTTGAGGAGGGGGGGTTGTCACCTTCAATACATTTCCAACATTTTTTTTTTTTTTTGGTTTTTATATAAGTACATTTACAAATACATAAATAAATAAAAAGTAATTGTTTTAATAGGTGTGAGAGAGAGAGAGAGATTAAAAATGTGAAATAAACAAAATAAGTGAGAGAGAGAGAAGGTATGAATTTAGAAGGTCGAATGTTATCAAGCTGAAAAAAAACATTTTTTTGAATTTTTTTTTTTTTTTCTTTTAGTTAGTCTTTGAAAAATAATAATAATAATAATTTTATCATCATTTTTTTTTTTTTTTTGTTTTGAAATTTTATTATTATTATTATTATTATTATTATTATTATTATTATTATTATTATTTAACCAGGTACGGTTGGGTCGTCATCGACATGTTACTTTTTTTTTTTAATTATGTTGTATTACATAAATTTTATTTATTTATTTATTTATTTATTTTTGAGCTCTTTACTCTACTGATCAACTATAAAAAAAATTTTTTTTTTTTGTGTATTCATTTCAAAATATAAATAACGTTTCAACCCTCCTATTCCATCCTCCTATTCAACCCCCTTCTATTTGACGTGAAAAGGTCGAATGTCATCATCATCATTGTATTCATTATTATTATTATTATTATTATTATCACTATTTTTTCAATTTTTACTCATGTGTGTGTAAACTCCGAATAGTAAATGACTTTATTTAAAGGGAAGGAATCATCCCCTCTGGAGACAAAAAAAAAAAAAAAAAAACAGGTGAATACAAAATAGAGTGAGAGAGAGAGAGAGAAGATAGAATGTATATAAAAGGAGAGCAACAAGTGCCATTTTATGCCACTTTTTTTTTTTTTGTCTCTTCTTTCCTTTGTTCTGACTCGTGTATGGAATCTTTATTATTATTATTATTATTATTTTCGTTCCATTGAATTGAATTTTTTTTTACACTTCTTT